AGCAGAACAAGAAAATAAAAATCTCCATGTGACCATCACTCTCTTCTCCGTTCCTCTCAAGACACAATGGAGGTTTTGTCGAGGCCCAAGCTGATTGGAGTGAGCTCTGTTTCTGGGGTGTTCCTCTTGCAAAGAATAGACACACTCCAACTTGGCTAAGAAAAGAATTGCTATGAAATAATTAGCTGACCGTAGGAAGAAAAAAGAACAGCAAAAGAGTTTGAGACAGGGATATTGTTTGTATGCTAATGCTTATCAACTGCTTGCTAAAGGCAATATGCACGAAGTAGATACCTCCCTGATTCTTATGCCAACTTACCATGGGAGGTTACGGTAAGTTTACCTCATGGGTGAAGGAAACTGGGGGTCTGAAAAGTCACACAATGGAACCAGACTTCCAGCCGCTGATATCAACTATAAAGTTCTACATTTCCCCTTCTTGGTTCATCTACAAAAGACCTTAGACCATGCACATGGCCCGATCTAGGGGAAAACAGCAACGCAGAGGCACAGCTTCTCCCTCAGTGCATTTTAAAAGTGGCTCCTGGCCAGCACTTTTAGGAGTCCCCAGCATTATGTATGGCCTAAGCGTGCCAGATTCACAGCTGTTCTGGCCACGTTCACACCGTCTGTCCTTGGAGTTCTCACCACCTCCTCACAGGTTCTGAAGACTGGCCGCCACCACCGCTGGTGCTTGTAACAGTCTACAGCTGCCATATTCCCCAAAGTCATGCTTCGTGATGCCTTCGAACATCTCCTGTGCTCACCTGTGATCTCTAAGCCTCCATACCCTGGTTCTAGGCATGCTACGGCCATTTATCACATTTTGCTGTGATGGCTGATTCATTTACCACACGTAGTTTTAGACAAACAACTAAAGGCTGCTTCTTCCTTCTCCATGCCCAGTGAAAACGCTAGTACCCCAATGTGTTTCTAGAAGTCTTGACTGACTTCTACTTTGTCCTTACCATCCGGACAGTGAAGTTAAAGACTACACAACGTAATTTGCATTAGAAATTCAGGCACTTGCCGGGCGTTGGTGGTACAAGCCTTTAATCCCAGCACTCGGGAGGCAGAGGCAGGCAGATCTCTGTGAGTTCGAGGCCAGCCTGGTCTACAAAGTGAGTTCCAGGACAGCCTCCAAAGCCACAGAGAAACCCTGTCTCGAAAGAAAAAAAAAAAAGAAAAGAAAAAGAAATTCAGGCACTTTCTCTCCGCTGCTGACATCAGACCTTCACCCTTTGGCATTACCAGCCTTTAGAGAATTTATTAAAACGGGTGTGGAATGATGGTGTCATGTGTTGACATGCTGGAAAGGAACAGCATTTTCAAGCTTCATCAACTAAAGAAATGATTCGGTCTACCGTGATTTACTAACAAGAACCTGAAGGTTTAAGGGTGTAAGTGTGGTCAACTTCAGACTTATTTGTGGTCAGTTCCAGATTTAATTTCAGGTCTTCTGATATCCAGACCAGAGACCTACATCACACCTCTGTACTGTCTCTTCCAAACTATGCCTTTGTTTCTTCATTTCCTCTCTCCAAACTATTTGTTTTCTCGTTTCTTTTCTCCAAACTGTCTTATTTTTTTAATTCCCGAAGGATAAGCAAAGCCACTGCCTGTTAGATGAAGACACAGAGGGCCAGAAAACTTAAATGACTGGTCCCTACGGTCCAGTCGCTATCACTGAGGAAGGAGGGAAAAAAACACCAAAAACAGACAGCTGCTGACTTAGACATCAAGGATTCTACATTCTTGGATTGTCTGTAGTTGTGTTATTGGCAAATAAGATTTGTGGTATTTGTGGATTCTGAGCTATACAGTAGCTGTTTTACCTTAGGGTTTAATATTAGCTTTTTGAAATAAAATTAATGTGGTTGCAATTTTGAGGGGCAGGGAGTGGAGGCATTTATCTAAAAACATTATCTTTTAGACAAGAATGCTTTAATGGCCAATACCTGCAAAACTCCTTGTTCTTTTCTGTGTAAGAACACATGATGCCATTTCCCTGCTTGATTTGGTAACAAGTTCATAGGAACTGCAGCTACATTCATTGGCCATCTACTATGGCCAAGACAAAACCAGTAGGCAGAGGCTTGTCAAGGCAAGGAGCATGGTTGCTCTAGGACTCTAAACCTTAGAACATCACGTTTTTAGTGGCATAGAAAACAAACTTCAAGGGGATGAATTGAAAGGGTATCTTCCAAGTGAGGGAATGTCAAAGGTTTTCAGGAGACACTAAGTTTTGAAGGGACAAGACTCAGGAAAGAGGGCTAAAAAGGAAAGAGATCCCAGCCAGAGAAGATGGGCTTCTGAAGTCATGAAATCAACAACATGCCCCTCAGACTTTATTAAAGCTGTCCACTGGATTATATTTACATTTTTTCTAGTGCATTTCCCTAAAAGAAAATAGATGCCACCCAGAGAAGAGAGAATAGAGTTACTTTTTCCATAGACAAAATCCTTGCCAGCTACTGTGGCTGGGAACCGTTGCTACAAACCTCTGAGTAAGTTTGAGCAAATTTATTTCCTTGCTCATCTAAGACCTTAGACCAATCACATGGCCCGATGGGGCAGAAAACAGGAACACAGAGGCACAGCTTCTTCCTCTGCATTCTGAAGGTGGCTTCTGATGAGCGCTTCTAAGTCCCTGGTATTTCGATTTTAGCTTATCAGATTCACAACACAGGCTGTCCTCCTTCCTATCACCACCTCAAGACTCTCTGAAGACTGGCTGCCAGGAATGCATTTAATAGTTTTCAGATATGTGACACCCCACAAAGCTATGCTTCATGATGCCTTTGAATTTTTCCTAGGCTCACCCTCCATACCCTGGTTCTAGATGTGGTACTGCCATTCATTGAATTTTATTAATGATGGTTGATTCATTTATACTTTCAAACAAATAATTAAAACCTCTTCCATCTGTGTTAAAAACTTTGCGCCGCAAGCTGCTATTGTGTACTGTCTGCTTGACATTCCAACAGTTTTGCAACAAATTCTATTCTATATTATTTTCAGGAAAAAAACCCAGAGTAAGACAACACAAACTAAGTCACATGAATATGGATACACACTCTATGCAGTCGTATTTAATAAGGCGGATTTAATTGCAGAATAGAAGAGGCACAGAATTCCATTCACTGTGAAAGAATCGGGTTACCTGGATACACCATACCTAGGGCACCAAGGCACCATCTCTTGGCCCCACAACCTCAGCATGCGCCTCCTTCCTTTGCCCCTGCTGCCAAGCCATTCACAGAAGTTTCTTCCTGGGTGGCTTCTTTGTTTCTTTTCCTACTTCCCAGACTCCACTTCATCTCTCTACCCCTGCGAGGTTGGACCTTCACTGCTGCAGCTGAAGAAACTATCTCAGAGCTATTCACACCTTTTAGCTCAACCAAAAACAGCTACGGAAACACAATCATTAGGCCACACTTGCAGTGAGAGAAAACAAAAAGTTATACAGTTGGACATAAAATTATTCCCACGACATCTATCCCTTATAGAACACTCAACTTCTCAGTTTAGAGATAAATACATGAATTCTAAATTTTAAAAGGTTACAGAGATGATTTTGATTTGCATCTGTGGAATATGACAGGCAGTATGAAAACACTGAGTCCAGTCATTATTCTTGAAATGTTGTGTTTTCATTTGTAGGACACTGCTCAACAAAGGAATCGGACTTTGGTTCACAGTTTGTAAACTTTGCACAAATTTTGTTATGATAGCCTGCTACCCACAGAGGAAGTTATTCATAAACAAAAACCTTCTATTGCATTACTTCAATGCAAGCCGTTGTGACTCTTCTTTGGGTTTTAACTTTTAATCAGTTGGTACTTAATATGAACTATAACCATGCAGAGTGCATAATGCTAAATTAACACAATATATAAGTTATAGCAGGAAAAAAAGGATGCCAAGTGAGTTACAACCTGGTAAGTTAAGAGTTCCATTGGTTTGGGGGTTTGTTTTTAAATTGCCCAAGTGATCTTGTAACCTTAATCATGACATTTCTAATCTAGTTAGTAACAGTTGTTTTCAAATGTCATAATTAAAAATACTACCCAGCCTAGAATAAACACTTTTCTGCAAAGACACTTACCACTTAGTATTTTGAACCAATTATTTACTTAAACATATTCATGATACCATTTTTAAACAAATTATTTACTTAAATATGTTCATGACACCATGGGCTTGTTCCTGCAGCTAATTATTGACCATTATTTTTAGATAAGATAAGCATATTAATCACCAGCACTGAGAAGTATTAGCAGTCATTAAAATGGATGGCTTCAGCTCAGAATCCAGTGATTGGTAGTGATTCAATATTTGCATAAATTATCTAATAATTTACTTTGAGTATATGATATATTTAAAATTACAAACAAGAATTGCTCAGAAACTGGGTTTTATCTTAGGAGACATTCTTACAAAGTTTCAAATTTCAAAAGGCATTTAAATTAAGCACTCCTCTTTATGTGTGCGCGTGCCTATTATTTTGCAGTTGTTATTTATACTATACTGAAACTGAATCTTTGGCTCTCCTGAAATACCTTAGTCAACCCTCAACAGTTTCTAACAATAATTGTGACCCCGCCAGCCCCTTCAAGTAGATCGTTAACAAGAGTGCCTGGCAATTTCCAGACCACAGCCTCTGTCCAAAAGGAAAAGATAGGGCTTTTTATTTTTTTTTATTATTTTTTTTGAGGCCGAAAGGAAGTGAAAGAAAACAAAACAAATGTAGCTCATGCAGAAAGTGAAAAGTGCTTGGACAGATTAGTATTTTCTTTTCTGTACGGCATTCTGCCAAGCTTCTCCCGACTTTCGCGTGTAGGAAAGTGCTGCTGTCTACCACCCCAGGGTCCCCTCATAATTACTGCTGTTTTGTGTTTTTCTCATCCTTTCTCATCCGACTGATACCTCGGCCTCACCCTGTCAAAACCCCAACTCTGGGGGACCTTGGGTGTGGAAACCCTTGCCGACTCCCGGCGATGCATCCCACCCGGTTCGTCTCACAAAGTTTATTTCAGTTTGCGAGATTCCCCCCCCCCCCCCCCACCGCCCGCCACTCGAGTGGTTGCAGTGAGAACCGGAAATTTTCATTTAACTCTCCCCCGCCCTCCGGGCCCCCCGTTCCCCGAGCCGATCGTTGCTGGGGAGCACAGCCCGGGCAGGGCCTCGCTCCTTTGCTCCGGAAGGCTTTAATTTGCACACTCGCCCGCCCGCCGCCGGGTGGGTCCGAGACCCCGAGGCTCGCAGCGAGGTCCCCGCCCCGCCGCGCAGCCTCCCGGCCTCGGGCCCCCAATCGCGGCCGGAGACCCGAGCCTCCCCGCGGGCGGGCGGCGCCCTCCTCCGCCGCCCGTCCCTCCGCTCTCCGCCGCTGTGCCCACCCCTGCCCGCAGAGCGCTGCTCGCCCCGGCCGGCCGCACTCAGTTACCTGCTCCGCGCGGTGAGCACGTGCGGGGGGCCGGCCGACACCCCAGCTTCGCCGGAGGCCCGCGCCCCTGGCCCGCAGGTAAGGAGCCCCGGGCTCGCGTGGGTGGGCTGGAGGGCTGGGGACCCCGGCCAGGACGTGGGTGCGTGGGTGGGTGGGGAGCTGTGTAGCCCCTCGGAATCCATGTGGGTTTAACCCTTTAGCAGCCGAGACTGGATACGTTATGGGGGTCAGCTGGAGGAGCTAGAGGTCTCCAGAGGGACCTCCCACACCGGGGACACCCCGACAACCGGGGTCCCGTGCCAGCTTGAAGACTGGTGCGCGCAAACACCCCCATAGCGTCCGGTTCTCGTGGAACTTCTCCAAACGGACAGTCGCACCGAAGCTCGAAATCGCACCGTCTGGGTGGGATTCCGTGGTGGAGAGTGTGTTTCCGCGCGCCCCACGTTTTTATCCCCCACCCCCGCCGGGGCAAGTTCCCTCCATAGCCTCCCAAAAGGTGTGGGTACGGGTTCCATCCTCCCCACCAAGGAATAAAACGTTTCACGCAGGCTTCCTGCTGGCGATCCCGGCGGGCGTGTTACGCACCGAGGAGTGCGCGCAGCCCACCGGGGTCGAAGCCCCCCGCGAGCACTCATGCTCGCTTCACGCCCCAAGTTTCCTTTTCCTACTGAAAGTTTTGCAGTTCAAAGCGCGCGCACACACACACCCGGGCCCAGGGCAGCCGGGGGCTCGGCGGCGCACTCGTCCCCGGTGCACGTGGGCGTATGTGCGCGGGCGCATCTGCGTATGCGCACACGCGCGAGTCGCGGTCCCGCGGGGGCGGGCGTCCCCCTCGCCGCGCTGGTGGCGACCCTGGCGGCGTTTGGCAGGGCTTTCGGGAGAGGCTCATGAAGGATTTCATTGAGTGTGAAGACAGAGAGCAGAGACAGAAAGCAGAAGGAGGCGGCTGCAGCCTTTGTAGTCGCGGAGGAATGCGGAAATGTTGAAGCACTATGTCAAACTTTTTTTGAAATGGGGTCAAGTCACATTCAGCCAGCGTGGGAAAGCAACAACAACAACAAAAAAGTGGAGGAGGGGACGGGGCTAGGCACCGCCGCTCCGGCCCCGGGGGGTGCAGGCCTGCGGGGGTGGGACGGCTGCCGCCTCCGGGAGCCCGGGCTGGACGCGGCCGGAGGGGGTGGGCGGCCGCCGAGGCCGCGGCTCCCGCTACCTGTGTGGCCCTCGACCTGGCGCGGACCCCTGGGCGAGGTCTGGGGGGTCCTTTCCGCAGCTTTTCAGGAAAGCTCTCAAGGGAACCCGCAGAGTCCCTGCCCTGCCCGCGCCGTGCTCCGCCCGCACCCAGTGGGGGTCGCGCCATGTGTTCTTTAATTCCTGGCACGCGGGCGAGCAGGGGTGCGGGGCAGGTAGACGCGCCCCGAGGGTTCCGGACACGCAGCTGTCATGGGCCAAGGTCCAGCCCAGGCTGAGGCCGCCGTGGGACACGAAGGCTCGCTCGGTCATCCCTAACAACTGAATGGGGTGGGGACGCCCGACCGCGCGTGGGACCCGGCCTCCTGCCGCTGGGGAGCCGAGCGACCTCCACGCTCAGGACACCGGGCGGGCGAGGCTCTGCAACAGTCGCAACCCCAGGGCAGCCCCTCTCACACCCGGGAGTCCTATGCCGATCCCCCACCCCCACCGTCGTAAGGGCGGCTGCTTCAGCTCGGGCGCATGGGTTGAAGTCAGCTGAAAACTTAAGGACCAGTTAAGGTCCCGAAGTTACGCTTTCGGGACACGACGAGCCAAAGTGACGGACCCCCCCCCCTTTTCCCAACACCCTGGGGATCTCCGGGGCTGGGGTGGGGGGGGGACGACACGACTCTCCTCTCCCAGGGCCCCTCGCCCTCCCACCCCTGGTGGCCCCAGCCCTCCCCTACCAGATGGTCTGTCCTCCCAGCCTTTCCACCAGGGAGGTCCTCCGAGTCGGAGGCAGAGTTCTGTCTCCCCTAAGATCGCCGTGCCCCCCCGCGACCATTTGTGTGTGCGAGTCCCTTTTAAATGTCTCGCTAGAAAAACTGAAAGTAGAAAAAGAAAGGAAGCAATTTCCGAGCAGATGTCTGACCACCCCTCCTCGCACACTCGTAGCATCGGGTTACAGGGTTTCCTGGGAGCAGCCCCAGCCCCATCCTGCGGCCCCACACGGGTGTGAACCCGAGGCGCTTTCGCACCAGCTTCCCAACGTCCCCCGGGTCCCCCCTGCACGCACGCCCGGGCCCCGGGAGTCCGGGGAGGGCGGCCGAGAGAGAACAACGGTATAGGTATAAATATTGAGCCGTGACATTGACGCGCCCGGCGCCCGCCTCCCCTCCCCCGCGCTCCCGGCACACTCTGGGCTGCTCGGCACGCCCCCTCCTGTCCGTCCCGCTGCGTCCCGCGCGGCGCTCATCCCCGAGGGGCCCCCTGCCACCTCGCCTCGCGAAGAACCACTGCACGAGCCCTGCCGGGGAAGAAAAAGTAACTGGGCTTTGCTCCGAGAAACCGGGCAAGACTGGGCAGCCGGGTGGAGGGCCGGGGCGAGCGGAGGGGAGGAGGAGGGAGCCGGTGGAAGCCGGTGGAAGGAAGCCTCCGGGGGCTGTCTGATCGCGCTCTTCTCCCTGTCCTCCCGTCTCCTCCTAGGTGCAGAGATTGTGGGCAGACTATGTAATCGCCGCCCGCCGAGGGGGAAGAGGAGGGATCGGCGCTCTCCGGCGGCGGCGGCGCGGCTCGGCTAGGCGGAGTTTCGCGGCGGCGGCGGCGACTGCGCCCGGCTTTCGCCCGCGGGCGACGAGGTCGCTCTGTCCAGCCCGGCGGCGGCGGCGGCGAGTGCGACCCCGGGCGTCCCCGAGGCGTGCAGGGCAGCGAGCGCACTCTCTTGACCCCTCGGCACCGCACCGGCGGCAGCGTCCAGCCAGCATGGAGAAGGACGGCCTGAGCCGCGCCGACCAGCAGTACGAGTGCGTGGCGGAGATCGGCGAGGGCGCCTACGGGAAGGTGTTCAAGGCCCGCGACCTGAAGAACGGCGGCCGCTTCGTGGCCCTGAAGCGCGTGCGAGTGCAGACGGGCGAGGAGGGCATGCCGCTCTCCACCATCCGCGAGGTGGCGGTGCTGAGGCACCTGGAGACCTTCGAGCACCCCAACGTGGTCAGGTGAGCTGGGTCCGGGAAGGTGGCAGCAAGGGGCGGCTGGTGAGCCAGCTGGAGTCGCAGACGAGTTCTGCAATGGAACCGGTGACCTTGACAGACAGGGCACCTGCCTTGACTTTCCCGAAGCCAGGCAGCTCTGAAGTGTTTTCACTCCATTGCTTGCCCCAGGGTTGGGGGGGGGGAGGTCGTGGGTGGGGGTGTCTTTTAGGAACAAAACCAGACAACCTAGAAACGTCCCTCAAACTCTTACTTATTTTGCCCGTCTGCGGGGGAATTTTTGAGAGTCTGAGAATGAGAAGAGGTATCCAGCTTGTGGTAATTAGAAGGAAACTGTAAGGGTGGAGCCTAATATAAATAACGTTTAAGAAAATGCAGAAATGTGTAAGAATGTGTTTGCCAGTCACATCCATGGTGGTGCCTTTTTTTTGAAAATGTAGATCAATGACTTCTGATGGTCTAAGAAGTTTCAATGTTGATGCCTAATGTTAAACATTGATAACAAAACAAACAAACAAAAAAACAAACGCCTTCCACGGCTGGATACTAGGAACACTGAGCCAGGAGGATCCTGAGTTCAAGGCCAGCCTGAGTTACAACAGACCCCATCTAAAGAGAAAGGGAGGGAGAGTTGGAGGGAAGGATGGGTGGGGGAGAAGCCTCTTAAATGATTGTGTCATTTAGTATCCGTGGACTGGTACAGTCGGTCTTAGACTGCTTCTCCCAAGGGTTAGCTGTGAGTCTAGCCTGTGGTACTCTGAAGCCTCTTTTCCCTGGGAGAGTGCTGCAAGTGGGTGGGGACCCTTCTTAACCAGCTCTCTTGTGAAGTCACTAGCTTTAAAAGAGAGTGTGTGCCTGCGTATGTGGTGAGGATAGTGGTGTGTTCTCAGGGGTGCTGGGATTTCCCCGTGCGTCTTTCATCCTTCTCTCTTTTAAACAGATGCGTAGCTCAGAGTGAAAAGGGAATGCACGGACCCTTGTACAAACTAGGTGATGACTCCACCATTCTTCATCAGCTCTGTATAGGAGAGTCATGGTCTGGGCGTCTTCGTCCTGTCTTCTCATTCCTGTGGGGATTCGGTGCGACAAATATGTGCCTACTGTGTGCCCGGGGGATGTAATTATGTAAATAAGCACAGCCAAATATTTTTGTAGAAAGTCAAACAATTTAACATTAGTCATCAAAATGGAGAGACCCAGGACTGACCTTTGAAATACCAAGCCCTCCGCAGACTCGGAGTCTACGGAATCCTGAGAGGTTTTTGTATTGCTTTATTCCCAATATAGTCAGATTTCAGGCCAGAATGCAGCACAGTGAATCATAATGCATAAATAAGTAAAAAGAGACCGTAAAGATAGGACCCCGTTGTACATGCGCCTTAGCTAGGTGACGGGTACGAGGGCTGGGGTGTGAGAACAAAAGACAATGGGGTTTGGGAGAATGAGTCTTCTAGAAACTCAGAATTTACATCAAGCAATAGATAACCGTGCGTGCGTGTGTGTGTGTGTGTGTGTGTGTGTGTGTGTGTGTGTGTGTGTGTGTGTTACAAAGGAGGTCTGTGATAATGGAGGGAGGAGGGCACATGTTGACTCTGGGTTACTATCCTAGAGGAGTGAATCTGCAGCAAAGGATCAATTCCAACCTGAGAATTTAATACCAGATTTCATTCTGTGTGTTACGGGTGGAGGGTCCAGGTAAGGGTGATTATCATACATGCAAATAAAATAATGTTCTTGCCAGGAAGCTCCCATGCATAACCTGTTCGTTGAGTGCAGTCCATTACAAATTCCTGTGGCAGAAGCAGGCTGCTCTGCTGGTGAGGCGGGCTACCCAGCTCATCCCCATCTCCTGCTTTATCTTTATGAAGTTGGCGTCTCCGTAGACAGTTTTAGTTGACCCCATGAAGGGATTCTGAACTGTGCGTTTCAGGAGGACCTACTCATCAGGAAAAAGAAAAGCTTTATAAGTTTATTTTTACCTTTTACGGCACCTTAGAGCTAGCTGTGAGGATAATGTGAGAATGTAGGCGAGAGTCATCTAAACGTACAGGCACTTGAGGTACCTGAGCATTTTGGAGATTGCCAGATCCTCAGCCTAGAGCAGATTTCGAGGAAAGGATCATTATCCGATGTTTTTACAGAATAAGTCAGATTTCCTGTTTAGACACTCCAGGACTGCTGTGACAAAGCATTTCCTAGGGAGATGTGTCACCACCATCTACTCATACCAGATAGGAAGCCCACCACAGACTAAAGTCCAGCTTGCTTAACGAATGAGTTTTATTGGGGCTACTTACAGGAATGTGGGTGAGGAATTACTCATGGGAGCAGTAAGGACTCAAACACAGCTGCATCATTAGAACCCAACCCCAGCATAAGTGACAGATCAAAAAACTGCACAGTTGGCAGGTGGCTGAACAGGTTGGAGAGTGTCTTTTTTTCAGGCACCTCAATTGGTCTCAACCTCTCCCAGGCAGCTCTGCTGGTTTCTGCTTCTTGCAGACATCTGGTCTGGTCTCTCAGAATCTTTGCAACTCAGTAGGGGGTAGGGGGGGTGTCAGTCTTCTTTGCAGGATGACTCAGCTCTTCTGAGAGGGGACTCAGGGAGGAGCCTGCTGAATCCGGTCAGTTTCAAGGATTTCTTGAAGCTATTCTGAGTTGTGTGTCTTCTGCTTAAGGAGTTTCCTGCAGGATAGAGTGTTTTAATCGCCAAGGAAACTTGCACAATAGGGACCAAAAAACTGCTTGGGTACCCATACTCTGAATTTGTTAGCGAAGGCAATTGATTGGCTGTAAACAGAAGTTTCTATCCCACCAGCAACTCCCAAATAAACACACTGAGACTTAATTAAACGCTCAGTCAATTGCTCAGGCTTATTACTAACTACTCTTACATTTTAAGTTAACCACTATTCCTTATTTGTGCTCTGCCATGTGGTGGTATCTTTATTAACATGCCATGTTCATCCCTTCCCTTTGTGTCTGCTGGTGACTCCTCCGACTCTACCCTTCTCCTTTCCATCATCCTTAGTGTGGGTGCCCACCTACACCTTCTGCCTGGCTACTGGGCTATCAATCAGTGTTTTATTAAACCGATTCGTGTGACAAATTTTTATACTGTACGCGAGGATTATCCTGCAGCATTTCCCCTTTTTGTCAAAAAGGAAGGTTTAAACTTTAACAGTAAGATTATATGCAACAAAACAGTTATCAAGTAAGAATTACAGTTACAACATCCAGTCTGTTTGTATTCACCAAAATTAGAGAAAACATTCTATTACCTATTTTATTTTTGTGACTCTAAAGTTTTACATCTAATTCACCTTTTTAATTATAATTATGGAAAACTGTAACTACAGCTATCTAGTGTTCAACTCCATCAAAGACCCCAGAAGGGTGAAATGTTACCTGATGACAGGGACATCAGGCTGTCTGGGCAGTTCCCCTTGGTTCCTCTGCAAAACTGGGGCATCCAGCTGGAATATGGGACAGACTTTTCTGTGGAGCAGGGAATTTTGAAGGACCTTCCTGCCTTGTCTTGGCAAAGTTCAGCAGCCTCCTGTGTTGTGTTCTGCTGGTCCGGTTGGACAGTATCCTGCCAGCAAAGGAGGTGAAATGCAGAGTTCCTTCAGTGCCCATCATTTTCCCTGATGTAGATTGGTGCTGCCAGAAGCAGCCCTGTCTCACTCTTCCTAAGCCTTGGGTTAGTAAGCACATTAAATGCCATATATTCTGTAGGTTTTCGAAGTGAAGAACATCTATCAATCTACATATGTCTGTGTATGACCTTGAAAACATACCTTACATGACTATAAATTTGAGTACTACAGATGACTGTTAATCTGTATTTCTTAATTATACTTTACAATTTAAATGAGCTGAATAAACACAATACCTTAAGCAGGAGTAGAAACATACAAACAGTATAACAAAATTAACTTTAAATTTGTCGCAAAATCCATACCATTGTAAAATATGTAAGATTAATAGTAGTTTTTTTGGATTAAAGTAGATTCAGTAATCTACCCCTTTATCCCATCTTTTCGGTATCGAATCCCCCTTCTTTTAGAAAAAGATCTGAATTTCTCTTTTGTTTAGCCTATTTTTGACAATAACCAATAACAATTTGTAATCAACCCCCTAAACAAAGACAAACATCCATAATCCATTTTTGGGAACTGTGGGCATAGTTCTCTAGACTACTTCCTGTTGATTAGAGGTGCTGGTAATCTTTGGGGGACCCTGAGAAAATGTAGGATTATGGTCAAGTGCTCACTGGAGTATTCTGTGAGGCTGGATCATCTCAGCCAACAGCTTTGAAGCTGTTCTGGATGCAGAACTCAGAGGAAACAGCAACAGAGATGCCCTGAAATGTGGTGTCATCTGGGCCATCCATTCCCAGCATATTTTTCAGCAGATCTTCCTCTATCAAACCTTATTTTTCTTAACTCAGAATGATCCCAGAGCCTCTCATTTCCTGTAGAAATAAAGCAGAACCTCTTTCAAAAGTGACATATCTTTCGACTCAATGTTGATGTTAAGATATTGTTTAATATATAGGTTGGTTTAATCTAGCAGCTTTCATAATCCGAGGTCTCTTAGTAGTTAAAAAGTTTTAAGACAACACAATAATACTCTGTATTTTCCATCTTTGTGTAGCTTTTTTTTTTAAATGTCATTCTACTCCCTTTTTAAGGACTTCATTATTTTAAAACTATATTTCTTTTTTATGACTGTCTATTGTAAGCATTGTGGCAGGATTCTGGCACTCAGGAGCCACAGAATACTAAGTGTTACAGCTCGGGTGGAAGGGTATTCTGGCAGTTGGGAGCCAAGGAATACCACAGGTCACAGTAAGTGTAGCAGCTTACAGCCCTGCTCCAGGGAAAGGCTCCCCAGTGCAATAGCTCTGTTTGGGCAGGGGAGGGCTTCCCGGTGAAGCTGTTACAATTCTGCTCAGGTCCCTAGGAGTATAACAACTCCACTTTGAAAGTGTTCTGCTACTC